TTGGCTACATGATTTTTTTTTTTTTTGTTAAGAAAATTTTTGTGGTTTTATTGTATCATGAGGCAATTGAAACATCTGAACAAATCAGTATCTGGGCGGTGAGGCAGCTGCTTTCTCCTTCACTTCTTTGGGTTACTAGAGCATCTTGTCAGTAGATTAAAAAAAAAAAAAAGACAACCTTTTGCATTACTTAAGTCTTTCCAAGGCATGCGCTGGTACAACACAAACGTCTCCTGTCAGATGCAACTAATCTAACATCCAAACATCATGCACAACACCTTGGTGGGGGGATAGAGCACTGCACCTACTCCCACCTCGGCCCTGCTTGTTTGTGTATGATATTTGGAGCATCTGGAGGAGTGTGATAGTGTCAGAAAAAGGAGGGAGGAGGAAACAGCATGAGTAAGTGGTCAGGAGGAGGTTCAGCCAAAATTGTGCAGGGCAAGCCTGAACATGTCATTGGTGCAAACCCAAGCATCATTGATGTTCTTTAATAGAAACATCTGGTGGAACCCCATGATAGGGTCTTCATCAGCCTTGAGCTGTCCCACAACCATACTGATGATACAGCTATCTGGCGTGGGCTGATGATCCTGTGCCGTGATACTGTGCTGGATTTTCTGGAACAGACGGCTAGACAACTTCTCCACAATGGCAGCTTTCCCCTGGAACTGCTGTCCTTCCCATGTAAGGCATGATGCATCAATATAAATTGCGCCTAGTTGGGTTCTGTCATTATCAAATAACTGGTAGTAATGTTGAATGAAGCTGGATCCAATCTGCTCCCAAATTGGCTTGTCTCCCATCCTGGAGCGTCACCCCGCCTCGCTGAGACCTGAGGGGCTGGCACGATGGCGGCAGCGGCGGCGGCAACCCAGCGCGGTCTGGCTACATGATTTTTTAAAACCCAACAGTACAGGAAGATTATAGAGTAACATAATCCCACCATTTCCACCCTAGTTTTAGTGCTGACATATAACTTCTTTATATGCTTTGTAGAAACTCTAGTCTTTGTTTTGAGGACTGGGTTTTAACTAGAGCAGTGTCTGGCAAGGAGATTGCTGGTCTCATTAGATCTAAAAGTCACTGGCTGACGCAGTCCCAGGCATCAAACGAAGGGCTGTGAAGCACTTGGTTCTGTGTTCCTGGAGCCATATATATGGTCATGTCCCCTCTTGGGGAGAGGGAAATAAAGAGGCCAGTAGAAGACCTGGAGCCAGTGCCAGGGCTGGACCTTTGTATGCTCTGCAAATGTGGGCTGAGAATTTTCTGGCATGCGGGCCTCCCAAGTTGGGGCAAGTGGGATGCATTGGCCAATTGTGTGGAGAAGAGCTCATGGAGTTTTGGCTCTAGCTCTGTTGTATTTCTGCCTTTTGAAACATACCATGTCTCCTAAGCTCCAATCCTTATGGAAGAGGGAAGAATTGTTTTTTGTCAGCACTTTCTGCTGTAGCCTCACACATAGATGGTGTTTCCTCAGCTGGGCTGGAAATGTCAGCTTTTACTCTGTTTGCAAGTCTTCCAAATATGAATCATAATCTCTCATTCCTTATGTCCATGTTTTTTGTCATAAAAAAGAGTCAGGCACTAATGGCTCATACCTATAATCCTAGCTACTGAAGAGGCTGAAATCTGAGGATTGTGGTTTGAAGCCAGCCTGGGTGGGAATATCCATGAGACTCTTATCTCCAGCTAACCACCAGAAAACAGGAAATGGCACTGTGGCTCAAAGTGGTAGAGTGCTAGCCTTCAGCAAAAGAAGCTCAGGGACAGTGCCCAGGCCCTGAGTTCAAGCCCACTGACAAAAAAAGACACTTTTTTGTTGGAAGTAATGGCATCTGCCTGTAATCCCAGCACTTTGAAGGCTGGAGAATTGCAAATATGAGGGTAGCCTGGGCTACAGAGTGAGACCCTATGTCAAGACAAAGCCAAAAACAGGAGAAAAAGAAAAATATTGGTTTTGAGAGTGTAGCTTAGTAGATGTAGCATGCTAAGCATGTTCCAATCTGGGCTCCACCTAAGTACCACAAAGGGGGAAAACCAAAAACCAGAAAATTTCAATTTTGTAGAATTCCTAGAGGAGATGATACATTTTATATGTATCCTGTCATCTTTAACCAGGAGTCCTGCTGATCAAAGTTTGACTGGTTGTTTATAATATAAAACTAACCAGGTACCAGTAGCTCATGCTTATAATCCTAGCTACTAAGGAGGCTGAGATCTGAGGATCACGGTTCAAAGCCAGCCTGGGGAAGAAAAGTCCATGAGATTCTTTTTTTTTCCAGATAAAGGGTAGATTTATTCATCCTTCCGGCTGGCACCAGGCCATCTTGGTCCTCCACGTGGTGTGGGCCAAGGCCTGGGAAAGAGAACTGGGAGAGCTGGGAAAGAGGGAGAAAAGAGCTAGAAAAGAGAGAAAATAGCTAGAAAAGAGAAGAGCTAGAGAAGAGCTAGAAAAGAGCAGAGAAAGGGCGTCTGGGCCTGGGCTAGGCCTTATCTAGGGTATGGGTGGAGAAAGGTGTGGCCACATCAAATTCAGATGTGACCTCAGCAGATGCAGATGTGACCTCTTCCAGGTGTCCCAGTTGCCTAGGTAACGCAGGTACTGGGTAGAGACTTTGCTGCGAGAGTGGAGTCTGCTCGCCATCCAGGAGCGGACCTTACATTCCAGCCTTTTAATAATCATGAAATAGGGCGCGGATTCTCTCTGGCTACTTCTTGCTGACAAGGGGTGTCAACAATAGGGGTAAAAGGCAGTGAGCAGCAGCTGTCCCTTGGTGGCGTGAGTCCTTAGATGAAGTCTGGAGAAGTCTCATGAGCATTGAGGGGCTGGAAAAAAAAATACTAGAGAGCAAATAAATGGCAAGAGGAAGGACTTGGGGCTGAAAATGTTGGTAGAAATGTCCCTAGCTACTTCTGACATCTGGCGACTAAGTAGAGAAGTCAGGTGATAAATTCCTGTCCAGTTAATAGGTAGACAGGTATAGACATTGGATGGGCAGGCTTCTTACTTCTACTGACCTCCCGGCTCTGGTTAATTTTGAAAGGGCAGGCACAAAGTAGCTGATGTGACATCATCTCCTCTTACTCCTCTCCATGGTCCCTTGTTCCCCAGACTGGCTAAGTTTAGGTGTTTGTTGCTGGGATGGCTAGTCCCAGTTGGCAGTCAAAGAGGTTTGAACTCAAGGCCTGGGCATTGTCCCTGAGCACTTCTGCTCAAGGCTAGTGCTCTACCACGTTGAGTTACAATAGCACTTCCAGTGTTTGGCTGGTTAGAGGTAAGAGTCTTGAGTCATGCTTCCAGCCTGGCTCTTTGCAGGTTAGTTGGGAGATGGAGTCTTAGGGATTTTTCAGCCTGGGATGGCTTTGAACTGCAATCTTTGCTACAAAAGCCCTTTATTATTTCCAATTAAAGTAACAAGGAGATCAAATAGAATAAGTAGAGCTTACCTGGTCCTTATCAAAAATTGCCAACAAATATTCTGAAATGACAAAACTCATTAGATGTGATAAGAATTTTAGCACAGATATGTCCAGTATTTTAGAACCATGTAGTCAGTAGAATACAGAACACAAAACAAAAAAGGCAAAACTCAAAACCTAAAATTTTGACATCAATGTTTAGACATCTTTGCTAACAAAGCACATCAGATAGTTGGGCCTCAGTTACCAGGGCCTGTGAAAAGAGCAACTTGTTAGCAAGGCACCTTAGAATACATGGAGTAGTAAACTTGGTGGAAGGTTAAGGGTCAGATGGGGCCAAACCTTTAACCACCATGTGGCCAAGATGGCAAACTCAAGATGGCGAATTTCTGAAAAAATGCAAAGAAACCCTGAACAAGTAGATCAAGCCTAGATTGGCTAGCCTTTGAGAGGGAACCTAGAGGAGGGTCCCCGGGACCCAGCCTGCGTCGCACTCTTCAAGGCACAAGCCAAAAAGTTGTAGAAAAAAGGATAGAAAGTTGGACATGAATGGCAGAGAGAGAGAGAGCAAAGGGAGCCTGAAATTAAACAGACTTCTCACCATTTACCATTGCAGTAGCAAAAACTGTGTACATCTGAGGATGGCATAAAATTAGGCTCTCTGGCTTTCCAGGGAGCGCACAAGGCATTTCAAAGGGGTTTCACGGCTCAGGCGTGATTCGCAGCACCCATTAAATGAGTAGGAGAGTCAGTCTGGTGAGTGAAGGAGAGGTGACCAGGCAGAAGCGGCTTCCCCACTTCCCCCAGAGCTCTCTAGAGAGAAATGGCCAAGCCCCCAAAGCCAAGTGTCTTCGGCTTCAGAGGTGACCGGCCTTTCAACTAAAGGCCGTAGGAGCTCTCTGGCGTGGCACCACGTCTGGACAGAGATTGAGTGACAGAAAGCCGTAGAGAGTAGTTTCACTCACCAGAGAAGAGAAGTGGTGTGCACATGGATGTGAAGGCCAGCAATGGTATTGATGCGCTGTGTCCGCAGCAGACAGGTGGGTTCGCAAAAGGCTGTCAGAACTGTGGGTATTCCTCAGAGCAAAAAGGGAAGAACAAACAAAAAAGAAAAAAGAGGAAAAAAAACCCAGAGGAATCCCACCTATCCTGACTTTAAGCCCTTTATCTGAGTCACGGCACCATTTAGGTTTTTAAAAAGAGGTAGCCGAGTAAGAACAGCAGCATGCACGTGGTATTCAGGTAAGGGGTAGGTTTATTCATCGTTCCAGCTGGCACCAGGCCATCTTGGTCCTCCACGTGGTGGGGAAAGGCCTGGGAAAGAGCTGGGAGAGCTGTGAAAGAGAGAGCTGGGGGAGAGAGAGTTGGGAAAGAGGGAGAAAAGAGCTAGAAAAGCTCCATGAGATTCTTTTTTTTTTTTTTTGTCCATCATGGGGCTTGAACTCTGGCCCTGGGTGCTGTCCCTCAGCTCTTCAGCTCAAGGCGAGCGCTCTACCACTTGAGCTATAGCGCCACTTCCCCCATGAGATTCTTATCTTTAATAAACCACCAAAAAACTAGAAGTGGCACTGTGGCTCAAGTAGTAGAGCACTCACCTTGAGCTGAAGAGCTGAGGGACTCAGGTCCAGAGTTCCAACACCACGACGGACACAGAAAATTATATATATCTGCTTCTTCATTTCTGAGTATATAAAGTTGAGTTTGTATAGTATTGAAATGTTACTATATGGCCCTCAGTTAAAGATTCTCAGCATTGGCCACACACTGGAAATAACTGTGGGATATAAAAAATAATATTGGCACTTATCAAGATAAGCTGTATGCATAAACTGACTTGTTTAATTAAAACCCCTTTGTACATTGCTTATAGATAACTAAAACAACAACAATATTGACATTCTGGATCCATCTGCAGAGATATTGGCTATTTAACTCAGGGATGAGTGGAACCTGAGATTGGTATTTCATGAATGTTTTTCAGGTGATCCTGACATCTGTGCATGTAGCTAAGTGCTGCTCTGGCAGGGAACAGCACCAGTGTCCACTTCCTCTGGGAACTGATAACAGAAGAAGAGCATTCGTGTTCCCTACTGGGAACTGAGTCAGAAGCTTCATAAGGGACCTAATAAGTGATTTGTTCACACTAAGGTTAGGTTAGGTGAGTGGCTCTCTAATCTGGATGCATTTCAGAATCAAGTGGGAGGGTTAAAACCTCCTGAAACCCAGATGGGGATGGGGATTACAGTGCTATTAAAGCTCAGGAGATTGCAGTATGCCTCTCTAGTATAGGGCCCTGGTGTGGGCAGTTTTCTTTTTTTAATTTTTTAATTATCTTCAAGTAGTTGTACAAAGAAGTTTACATTCTACAAAACAGTATATGAGTACAAAGTGTCTGACAACATTGTCACCCATCTCTCTCTTTTTTTAATTTATTTTATTTTATTTGTGAACATACTGT